ATAGGAAATAATGCAAGACATTTAACACAGAATTTTAACCCTTAAACGCACAAAAACGTGTTACTGTTACAGTCTTTGTCACGGTTCCTATATTGACAATAACAATGATTCCAGCAAAATCATGGAAACCTTCTAGTAACAGCAAGAAGTGATTAATATAAATCTTTGAGCAACAACTTAATTATTAACACTCTGCCGTACCTAAAACTTTAAAGAAATATATACTATAAAAACTCATGGAAGATTTTACTAGAAATTTATTAAACAGGCAAAAGAAAATTATTAAAAACTTAAATTAACTTGTTTATTACAATTTGTAAATGTATATAAATTATGTTTAAAGGAAAATAGACCTACGGAGTTAGGCCTTTAGAAAAGGAGCATATACTGTGTAAACTGAAAATTACAGAATTACTTAAAAGACTTAGCATTTTTTTTCTTTCTTTGGATCTGTTAATAAGTGATGCAAACAACAGTGTATTTTCATTAATTTTTCTATGGAATTATGTACTTATAACCGTTTACCATTGTTGAAACACTGCCGCAAAATAAATAATTCATTATTTTGCTAATGAATATAAATTATACAATTAGGTTGTGATTCAGGTGTTTTCACGTTACGTAAACAAATGGATTAACTAAATAAACAATTTTTCAATTTAAATGAAGCGTATTGATAGATGATATTTAACTTAAATGTATGTGTAATAATAAAAAAACAATGTTCCATTGTATCATTTTCACTATTTACTACAAAATAATATTTTGTTCTTGTAGTATTTATTTTGTACGATGAGCTTACATCAAGAAAATTAATTAATAAACAAAACAATATACGAAATGTTTATCGTTGTTCTGATTCGATTTTAAAGGCCGATTTGAGTTGCTTCTTAACATTTCGCTAGGACAGTCCTTATCCAGCATTGGAAGGACCTCTCAGGAAGCTTGCCACTCATGCTAGCGAAACATTAGAAAGCATCAATCACCTGGTGACTTCCAAAGCTTTTACCAGTTTGTCATACAAATTGTTTCTTAGTTTCTTTGCTTCACTTTCGAATTTTGGTAAAATGGGATGCATGTTGATGATTAACGCTTACTTAGTGACAAAATTTACATTTGTTTTATTCGTTATCAGCAGTAGTCTTATATATAAAACCCATTTACAGGATTTTTTCCAAATTTTTGTGTAATGGTGTTTGAAAAATATAATCGACAGTTTAACAATTAAAACGGACGCTTTGAAAAGGACTTTTCACTTCATTAGAATAACTCGAAGTACAATTTTTCGAAAAGTCATTGATNCTTAACATTTCGCTAGGACAGTCCTTATCCAGCATTGGGAGGACCTCTGAAGGAGCTTACCACTTGTACTAGCGAAACATTAGAAAGCATCAATCACCTACTGACTTTTAAAGCTTTTACCAGTTTGTCATACAAATTATTTCTTAGTTTCTTTGCTTCACTTTCGCATTTTGGGAAAATTAGATGCATGTTGATGATTAACGCTTACTTAGTGACAAAATTTACATTTGTTTTATTCGTTATCAGCAGTAGTCTTATATATATTTAATGTATTCATTAGTAAAACCTACCACTTACTTTCTCGCATTAATAAATATATATATTTGTTTGTTTGGCAGTTTTTTATGTCTCGAAAATTATTTAAGCATGACATGTACGAAACATACAATATTATGTGTAGGTGTAGGTTAATCATAGTTTGTTACTATATTTTCTCTTACTTCCTATTACATATTTATTTTTATTTAAGTTACACACCCATTTCATTGTTTTCTTTTGATTTGTTTTCCGTGAAGAGAAAGCTCGTATGAAGATTGATAGACCAGTAATGATAATCGAACATCTAACAAAACAATGCTGCTTCCCTGTATCTATTCTTACTAGTTAAGTGTTAAAAAATCATACGTAAATAAGGAAATAAGTTGTCGCTTTGGAAGGCACATTCACATAAGAAGTCATCATCAACATCATAAAGTTATCAGTCATATGACTGGACTCGACACACTCCTCCACTCTTTCCTATCCTGAGCTAATTTTCGCATTTTCTTAAAACTAGAACTAGTGTGTATGTGTGTGTGTCTGTATGTATATATGTATATATCTATTTATGTATGTATGTATCTATCTATGTATGTGTGTATGTATGTATCATTTTTAGGGTTTTTTACAACCGAATAAAAACCGAAACACTTATAGGATCACTCATGTTTGTCTGTCTGTCGGTTTTTTTAAATAAACCTTCTTACTAATACTACTACCTATCGTTAATGAAACCTATTTTGGTCAACTCTATTTCATTCCAAACTCGATTAATTTAGTCACTAACTTTGGACCACCTATTATTTATTGAAACGTGTTTTAAATAGGTTTTATCCAACTATTCTAACTGAACCCTTAGGCCTCCAAGCTGCTATTGTATATGCCATTAAAGAAGTTTAGGGTCAACTAGTTGAATTAATAAAAGAATTGGTGTTAAGTTTATTTAAAAACAAGTGCAAAATTGTATTTAAATACTAGAGTGGGGGCAATTTTTTATGCGTACCTACTTGAGCAGCAATTGGAGTACCTTTTTAAGTCGATATCGATAAGTTTAGTGAATTTAGTCCACAAACTTTTACATTTTTACTTACAACAAACAAGAACACAACACTTCGCGTTTTTTTGCAACCAAACTAGATTATCAGGTATCACAAGGTCTACCAGAAAAATATCACACTACTTACGCTTGTACTATGTAGGTAGTCGCAGACACTGTTGGTAAACTAAATATTTACAATATATACTTTTGATCAGGAACAACTAAAGTTAAATTTAACCTACGCAATTTACTCTTCACGTTTAGAGACATTCGGGTTTATTGAGCTAATTTCGAAGCCCCGCGTTTTATCGTTCTAGAGCTTTAACTCTTATTATTACTACGAACGGGTAATGTTTACATTCTCTTGGATAAAGAAAGGTACTGATAAGAAAAGTAATTAGAGTACCAATCGCATAGGTAACGTATTGCATGAAAATAACATCTATTTTGTTTTCCCTTTTATCTTATCGTGAGCGATTAAAATTCTTTTCCCCAATGCTCACCTAAATCCTATCTTCTAGTTACAGTAGGTAACTAATTTTAATGAAAAATGTTATCTATTTTAAAAATACTTTGGAAGGTAATCAATTAATTGAGAACTGTAAACATTGGAATAAGGTAATCTATGGTGAAATTATACACAATATTTGTTTTTACTATTGAATGAATCATTGGCTGGAAAACTAAAAATTAATTAGAAATTAGAAATTACTGAAAGGCTGGATTTTAGTTTAACATCTTGTCAGGGATGTAGTTAGGGATGGGCTTGGGAAGGTTAAGGACGATGCATTGAAAGTCTGGCCCATATTCTGACCCACTCTGGCTTAACTCGATATAACGCAAAATTTAAAACTGCAAACTTTACATAACACAAGACGCTTTGCTTAATACAAAGTAATGCAGCGTTTTTCTTAAATGATGCAAAAATATCTACATATACTTTGTCCAAAACGAGAACTTTTACGATTCTTTTCTCCATGAATCCTTATTGTTGAAAAATTGGTCTCGACGAAAAGCCCTTTTATTTTAACGGAATAATGTACACCTTGAAGGTGCATATTACATATTGGTGAACGAATTTTTAAAATCGGATAAGTAGCTTTTGAGATTACCGAAGTACTTTGTCCTAAACTAGAGCTTTTGCGATTTTTTTTCTCCACGAATATAATTGCTAAGTTACTTATAATTGAAAAAGTGTCCTCCACGAAGACCCCATTTATTTTAACAGACTACTAGAAGGCCTATGTCTACCCTGAAGGTTCATTCTAAATATTGGTGAAAAAATTTTTAAAATCGAATGAGCAGCTTCAGATANTTTATTTTATATGTCGCCTTTGTCTAACCTGAAGATTCATTCTAAATATTGGTGAAAGAATTTCTGAAATCAGATGAGTAACTTCGAAGATTACCGAAGCTAGTTTGTCTTAAACGATAGCTTTTGAAACTTTTTTTTTTCCATGTTGAAAAATTGGTCTCAACTGAAGGCCATTTTATTTTAACAGACTAATACACGGTCTATGTCTAAGCTGAAGATTCATTCTAAATATTGGTGAAAGAATTTTTAAAACTGGATGAGCAACTTCAGAGATTACCGAAGCTGCTTTGTCCTAAACGAAAGCTCTTGCAACTTTTTCTTCATGTTGGACAATTGCTCTCCATGAAAGGCCCTTTTATTTTAACAGACTAATACGTCGCCTATGTCTACCCTGAAGGTTCATTTTAAGTATTGGTGAAAGAATTTTTGAGATCAGATGAGCAGTCTCGGAGATTACTAAAGCTACTTTATCCTAAACGAGAGCTTTTACGATTCTTTTTTCTCAATAAGCATAATTGCTAAATCACTTATCGTTGAATAATTGACCCTTTTATTTTAACATAAAAATATGCAGCCTACAGTTCGGAGATTACCCACCACATCCAAACCTACAAATGTCACCTCTTTAAAATATTTAGTGTAGGGAACAGGAGTCTTGAGTAGCCCCTCGTAGCCCTAATCGTACAAATTGTTTACAACTTACTCGCCAAAAATCTGTAAGCAAAATGGTTGTACAGCTTTATTTACTTTTTTTAGTTTTTTATTTTGTGTGTAGGTACAGTGTTTTATTCTACCGTCATTCATTATTCATTTGTCTGTCAGTTTTTGAGAAAATGACCGCAAGGTCGAAAAAATTGTCATGAAACAGATAAAACATTAGATAGGTATTTCTCAATTATTTTATTCTAATTACTTTCATATTTCACTCTTGTTTTAAGGCTTTAAAAGTACAGTATTACTTTGGAAATGCAGCTCGATACTTTTTTATTGGTAAAAGCTTCTAGAAGAGTAAACTGTTTCAATTATACAATTATCCAATCACCTACCAGAATCCTGGACGGCTATAATTTACGAACATAACTTAAACTCTAGAATTTATGTCGATTTTATTATGAAAAGTTGTGTGTATGGTCAGCAGAGCAGTATAAATTGCAATTTGCAGCTGTAGTTCTGACAATTACTATCAATAATGTATTCAAATTTGATGTTAGGAGGAAGCATGTTATCTTTCATTTTAATATTATTTATTGAACGAAATAACCTACTATTATGTGGGACTAGTCACTCTTCTTTATGTGCCATTTAATTTATTTGTTATCATTGCCTCAATCAGAATATCCTACCAGATTCATCAATGTAACCTTGAAAATTGTTGCTACTAGCCACAAAAGCAAAAGTAATTTCATTTATTTAAATTGTTAAAACCATGGTTTCCTTGTATCAAAGCAGGTGAATAGATACTGGTTTTTTTGATTACGAAAAACGATGCTGAAATTAAAATGACATTGTAAACAAACGGATTTCATTTAGACGCCTTTATTTATTCAATTTAAAGATATAAAAATAGATAATTTGTTATCACATTATCGACGCGGGTAGGTAGACGTATTTGAAATAGCTTTTCGTAGTTTAAACGTACTATATACTAGGTACCTACATAAAAAAACTAATTATGATACAATTTTTTTTTAGTTATCGGCAAATATTAAGTAATTAATTTTATTGGTCACTTGGAGGCTTCATGACATGACCGTTATCTTTCTTTATGAATTTACTTACTTAGTATTCCTGCCAGACTGTCCGTTTTACCTTTTTCGTCTTAATATAAACGATTTATTTATTTACAATTGTTCTTACAACAATTTTTAACGGACGTACGCTATCACACCACACGCAATCGGTTTTCCCGATGATCCGTTTCGGACGCTTTCCGCGGATCCCCCTCGTCCCAAGTCATCTTCGTTTTCCGTTATCACAATTCCTCTTCCTAATATGCTCCTAGGTCCTCCTGATAAGGAAATGAAAGCATCTTCTATTTTAAACTCGCTGGTGCCATCGTCTCCAACTTCTATGTTGCCCAAATCCCCAACATGACGAAGACTGTCTTTTGGACCTCCATGTTGTAACTGTTAATCAATTAAAGAAAAGTGATAAATTTTGTTAACGAACTGAAGTACATTAAACATCGCAAAACGGAAATGGAGCATATTAATTAAACTTTTTAAACGAAATACTACTTTTACGGGCATCTAACGACCGTCAATTTACGGATGGTGATCATCATCATCATATGGTCGTCAGTCCTAAGACTGGTTGGACACACACCTTTACTCCTTCCTATCTTGAACTAATCTTCGCATTTCCCTAAAACTAGAACATCCCACATCCTTAACTATTTGTGAACATTAATCTAATCTAGGTCTACCTCTACTCCTCTTAACTCCTCTTTCTGCTTCTAGTATATCTTTGACCAGTCCTCTTCATGCCTACCCACCTATCTCGCCTATTTCTTACTGACTTCCATGAGTCCTCTATTCTCCTATTCTTTCTAATACCTCTTCATTTCTAACCTTCTCTATCCACCGTATCCTCATCATGACCAGGAAGTCATACAACTCAAGAGGGATAATGAAAATATCGTGGATGAAGAAGATTGAATATAAGAAAATATTGGGAAAAGTAGGAAAATGGGGTCAGTCTATGAGGAAATATCTTCCGAGAGATGAAAGACTTGCTAAAAATATCTTTTGCGTAAAGATAGAAGTAAGGAGAGGCATATGAAAACCTAAATATCAGTATCGGTTGCAAATACATTAGATGTGGATTTTTCGGGAAACGCCAGAATTGAATGAGGATAGAAAAAAGTGGTCGAAAAGTCTTTGGATGGTAGTTATGATCATGATTAAGCATCCTGCCTAAAGAGAAACATCCATANCAGTGGGCAACTCATACCCTATGGTGTATTCACTTTTCCAATTACCATACAGTGGGGTACGTATTTTATAGATAAAAAAATTAAGATCCTCATTTTTCTCAATTTTCCAAGTATTAATTTTCCCCAAGTGATCAAAGAAAACGAAGTTGCGTGCTGAACGGGGAACTACCGCCCTGAGAGAATTCAATCTCAAGTCCTGATAAGGAGAAAAGTGCCCAACCATTTTACTCCCTAAAAATGTTAGGGATTACTTTTAGATAAGAATCCCAGAAAACATGTATTTGATTTGCAAACAATGATAACAAGGGTATTAAAAAAATATAACATTTTTTTGATAGAAAACAGGGGAACTGTAAGAAGTTTCCCTTAATTATTTATTTTCAAAATAAACAGATTTAATAATCCCTATGAAAAGACCATTAGTTTTTGGGCGCGGGTTATTTGCACCTCAATTTTTCGTAAACTTAAGTACATACATCCATCACCTTAATTTTATTATTTTGTTTGTTTTGATACTGAAACATTCTTTTGTGATTAATGTCTTACGTAATAACGTTAAAAACAAACAGAATTTTTCATGTTTTCATCCATAATAGTAATATTTAGTGTAAAACGTTTATCTATGGTAAATAAGCTTGAGACGCTTTTTATTTAATTTATGCAAACACATGAACCAATATCCGTAACTAAGAACGGGTTCGCAATTAACCAACATTAATTTGTTCATTTGTATATTTGCTTATAAACCATCTTATTAAAGTAATTCAAACACTTTATGCAACTTTGTATTATTGATGTAAATTCTTTGAATATAGTTCGATTGCTATTTAGAGTTAAATTGTGACGAATTTCACGAACAACTTGAGATGAAAGCCAAATTATCAGCTTTAATTTCATTTTAAAGTAAATGTTTAATTTAAATAATCTATTACATTTTTAATTGGTATCTGCATGAATCAATTCCTAACAAAAATTCTAATAAGTTGTAATTTGCTGAAAAAATATTCAATATTATGACATCGACATTGGTTACGTAAGCATGTACAGGTACATATTTATGCAAGAAAAAAAATGATGGAAATTCTTTATTTCCTCTTACGATCATTCTGTAAAATGACTGTCTGTTAAATCATCGAGGAAATAAATGTGATAAATGAAGGTAATAAAATAAAACCGTAAAATACTGCCTGTCATAGAAATTCTTGTAAAAGCTTGTAGATATACGCATTTGTTTTAATCCTACATATAATAAATTATAGACAATGTCTAGTAGATTTTCCAAAATTGTAATAACTGTAAAGATAAAATGATTAAATAAATAAAGGGGTACTTTTACATTAGTAAATGACATAAGATAGGTAAATATCAATATTAGCATTTTTTTATTAAATATTAATGTGAATATTTATTCTCTTTTTTTTACCCGCTATAAACGAGAAAATTTGTTGTCGCCGGGAATCGAACCCAGGAACTTTGGTTACGCAATAATGTTGTAGTGTATGTAAAAAGAAAATTGAGAATTAATTTTCACATTAATATTTGATATTAACCACTCAAAGTGTTTCATATATATCATTTTTTATTGTTTCGACGTTGTAATAAAACTGGTAACATTTCTTTACAATAATTCAACTGTGTTGACCATTGAATCCTTTTTCTGACTACGAGAAAGTTAAATGAAAAGAATTGAATAAAATTGCTTAGTATAATGTGTAGGGTCTTTGAAGCTGGAAGCCCTACACCTTTCCGCTTTTAAGATTTAAAGCCCTTTATGTAAGATGTAGGATTAGATAGACCATTAAAGGATATAATTTAATTTTATTAGAGTATTTGCCTTTAAACTGATAAGTAGTCATACAAAAACAAGTGCCCGAATATATAAAATCATTGCGAAGATTTTCATTATTTAAGACAAGGTAAACAACGATTACATGCTACTGAATCGTTACATGCATTACGTGCATGGAGGAGGAAAATATGAATTTTGTTTGTAAATGAAGGTTGTTTCTGTTAAGTGAATATTGATGTTGAAGATAATCCTGTCTAGAAGTGATAGGCAGTCAAGGTGAAAAAAAGCAAAATAAATATTCATTAATATTAACAAAAAGTCTTAAAAGTTATGAAAGATGTCTTGTACAACAACTGCAGGAACATAAAAATATTTTTATTTAAGAATCAATCAAAGAATATTAATTACAGCTAAGAGATCTTTGGCGACAAGGTTGAGTAAATCAGGTTGCTGAGTAAGAATTTTTAGGAATATTTTCATACCGTCCACGAAGAAAAGATTTATAACTTCTGAGAAAATTTACGAACAGATGGAAAATAACAAGTAAAATTAATGAACACTGTTTTAATGCGTAGATTGTTTATTTGTCTGGTAAATAAACACAATTTTTCATGGAACGCTTTTAGGGCAAATCAAAACCAAAAATTTCTCAATTTGTACATTAATTAACCCAGTTATTAAACTGGCCAATTATTCTACAAAATTCTGCAATAAATTTATTAGACATAAGAAACTGCATTCATCAAAAAAGAATATTAAATTTTTTTCTATTAACATCTCTTTGCTTTTGTTTTCAAGTCAAAAAAAAGGCAAATTCTAATCATGTTTTATAAAAGGGGTAATTCTAACAGAATAATAAAAAGAAAACGCGCAAAAATATTTAGAAAGATAACTATACCTACCAAGTTTGATAATTATAATAGAAGATGCTCATTACTAATTTCCTGAAGGTATCGTAGACATGCAATTCTACGAAAATTAACTATAATTACAATAAATTATACCAACAAATAGAAATGCACCTGTACTACTGTGTTATATGGTAAAAGAAATAAAGGAAAATTAAATTACAATTAAATTCAGGTACACGGTTGTGTTTTTTTCTGGAATAAAACTCACCAAAAATGGATCGAAATGGTCCCCTAATTCATTACATCCTTGTCTGAGGTCACCTGCATGATGAATGTGGAGCCCATGCCTACCAGGAGGGAGACCAGTAACACTCCCAGTAACGGTAACCACTCCTGCAGGTGGTTGTTTCTGGAAGAACGTGATTTCACCACTGATTCCGTCTCCAGTGACGACAGCAACAGCAGACTTTGGCCTTAAATCCTGTGCAAGAGAGTTTTTCTGTTTGTCTTTATCAGAAATCGCCCTAGAATTCCCCTCCCTCTAAAGTGCAAGATAGAGCGTAAAGAAAAAAGTGCAAAGGAAAAGGAAAATCTGAATCTCCACTCACGTAGGTGTAAGGTTCCATATAGACCTCGTACAATTCGCTCTGGATGTTGTCAATGGCTGGGAACGATTTTATAATTAGGGGATGTCCCGTACCTTGAACACCGTAAAATGTAGACGTTTCAACATCCCCCTTGGCAAAAAACGGAACCGAAGAGATAATGGAAAGCAACCACAGGACACTCAACATTTTCAATTAAATTTCTCGCGGAATATATGAATGATATGTGGTAATGTTTCTTTGAAATGCACCAGTACTAATATATGTTGCTACTTCGTTCAATGTACACGTTTAAATGAAGGTAAAATGAAATCAGCCAAGTATAAATAGCAATTAGAAGAGTACAGGTCTTCGCGTGACAAAACATGAGATTTGTGTTTATTCATTTACCTGTCAATGTTCGTGTGCATGTTCGATTGAAAATTCACTACAAATCGCACATGTATTAGTATTAAATACTTATTTACTTACACATATGTGTGCATACGCAAACCGACTATTATTTATTACATCTTAAATTTTACCGAGAAAAGAATTGATTTGTTTAAATACCTTTCTGCGATAGACATTAGTTTCCATCACTTCATGTTACCAGCGTTTCGTATTTCTTTTTGTTTTTGGAAATTGACTAATGAGAAGTAGGTGGCTAGTTCAACGAGCTAATAGGGTTCATGCTAAATAATAACAAAAAATTGTTTTTCTTCCTACAAATATTCATGTTTTTACATTTGACCAGTAAAACTGTCTATAGTTTTCAATCAAAACAGTTCACCAGCCTAAAGAACGTTATTTTTAAAAATTCTGAAAATACAGAAACAGCCTCTATAAAGATTGCGTTTTTACTCTTATTACATTTTTAATTGGTATCTGCATGAATCAATTCCTAACAAAAATTCTAATAAGTTGTAATTTGCTGAAAAAATATTCAATATTATGACATCGACATTGGTTACGTAAGCATGTACAGGTACATATTAATGCAAAANTATGCTATTATATTTATGTTTTGAGGCTGATAGCAACATATAGTCGTTTTACTCGAAAAAGAAAGTTTCAAATAATGATTATTAAGAAATTAAAGTCATATCTGGGAGTCATTTTCTACTGAGCTCATCAACGATCCCAATCATTAAAAGTTTTGGGTGATATCTTAATTTCAGTCTCCAAATTATAGAATATAGACTAGTATTATTGTGAGCATCACCTTAATTTTATTATTTTGTTTGTTTTGATACTGAAACATTCTTTTGTGATTAATGTCTTACGTAATAACGTTAAAAACAAACAGAATTTTTCATGTTTTCATCCATAATAGTAATATTTAGTGTAAAACGTTTATCTATGGTAAATAAGCTTGAGACGCTTTTTATTTAATTTATGCAAACACATGAACCAATATCCGTAACTAAGAACGGGTTCGCAATTAACCAACATTAATTTGTTCATTTGTATATTTGCTTATAAACCATCTTATTAAAGTAATTCAAACACTTTATGCAACTTTGTATTATTGATGTAAATTCTTTGAATATAGTTCGATTGCTATTTAGAGTTAAATTGTGACGAATTTCACGAACAACTTGAGATGAAAGCCAAATTATCAGCTTTAATTTCATTTTAAAGTAAATGTTTAATTTAAATAATCCGAATTTGGTAGAAAAATAAACGCATACAGCTATTTTTAAAATGTTTCTGCTTTAAGTGACTTTTTTAAATGACTAGTTAGTGCAAAAATTCAATAAATATTGTTGTCCTTCAAACTGTTAGTCGTAGAGTCCCAACAAATATTTGTAATTGCAATATTGACTTAAGAAAACGGTTGTTTGCCTTTAATTACATGGAATTACATTTAGAAACGGACTAGACCCCAATTTTATGAAGAAATATAACAAAAGTTTTGCAATCAAAAGTTATATCCTTTTACATAACAATTTATAACCGCTACTTCAAAAAATATCAAAAAAAATTACATAACATTAAGTTGATTCGTAACTTTCTTTTAACGAATAACTTTAAGAATTAATGCTCAATTTTGTAAATAATATTGCGATTTTGGGTAATAAAAATTTAAACGATGTTTATTTATAAATGGGGTATCGTTATTTAACAAAATAGTCAAAAAGAATTAAAAAAATTATAATTTAGTTTTCCCGATCGAAACTCCATCTAACTAGGTTTTCCAAAAATAAATTGTTTCATTGCAAATGCCATTTTTCCAGTAAAATGTCAAAATCATCTGTCAAGTCTGAGTACTACTACTATTCCAAAAATGATAACAACTTATTACTTTGTAGCCATTATGTAGTAGAAATTAAGACTTTCGTATAATTCGTATTATGTATTATGTTGTGTACGTTTGTGGTAGTCTTACATGTCCGGATTACTTTTACAATGACATCGGCAAGTACCCATCTAATATACAAAAGTTTCATAACAGAAAAAATAAATGTACCTATTTTGGAACAATTATTTAAGAATTATAAAAATGATTGAACGCTCAAGAAATGCGTCTAACAGAGAAAAATTAAAATTCTTCGTGAAAACGAAAATATTATCGAACTGTTCGTAGTCCATAAACCAGGAGCCTTAATTTAGAATAAATTTCAGATCTTGAATTCAAGATTATGCAAGTTAGAAAAGGAACTTGAGTGTATGTTAAAAAATGCTGACAAAATTTCTGATATCCAAAGAGCCTGTTTTTCAGACCAAAATGACAATTGTTCTAGAAAACCGCGATGTCTAAAATCATCTTCACCATGCAATCAAACGCGCAGGTACAACTTTAATTACCCTTCTTGAAAGCTCCTACTTATAAAGTTTATTATTTAATTAGTCTTTATTTTTAATTTGTTCAACATGATAGCGTGTCTCCCTCAAAGTGTTAAATAGCAATTAGAAGAGTACAGGTCTTCGCGTGACAAAACATGAGATTTGTGTTTATTCATTTACCTGTCAATGTTCGTGTGCATGTTCGATTNTTGTTCTAGAAAACCGCGATGTCTAAAATCATCTTCACCATGCAATCAAACGCGCAGGTACAACTTTAATTACCCTTCTTGAAAGCTCCTACTTATAAAGTTTATTATTTAATTAGTCTTTATTTTTAATTTGTTCAACATGATAGCGTGTCTCCCTCAAAGTGTTGTTCAAATCGGCATTCGAAGCCCACTTGTCTCGGTAAAACACCTTCCCCCACATTTTCCCTTTGCGACTCTCCTCAAAATGGCAAGTTATTACATACACCTCATGAAATATTTCATACCTTGATACGATTGATATTAAACGATTCTAGATTCGCTTTGTTTTTCAATGCCAACGCCCGCATGTTGTTCAAAAAATACAAATAAGAAATTGTTATTTTGTAATAATCTTCCCTCAATGCCAGAAGATGAGCAATATTCCATGCAATGTTCAGGAAATAAATCTAATTGTGATATGGTGAGAAAAAGGTCACCTTTTCAGTCAAAGACATTCTTTTCTCATAATTTTTATTTTCAAGTTATTGATGGTTGAAAAAGAACGACGAGTGAAAGCTGAATGTGACTCTCATCAAATGAAAACTGAAATCGATCTTTTGCGAATGCAATTAGAAGATTTGGTACAAAGTAAAAAAATCGCCATTGAATTATCTAAAGATTTAGAATGTAAATATAACGGCCTTCTTCACGAAAAAGAAGAAATCCTAGGGAAGTTGAGTACCCTCGAAAAGGATAATCGGAATTTATGTATGAAACTAGAAAAAGAAATCAATTCGAGAAAATGTTACCTTCAACAAACACAAAAAACTGCTGCAAAAACCAAGGAAGCTATCGAATGTAAATTGGAAGAAATACAATTGGAAGCCGCAAAATCATCAAAAATCATGGCAGAAAATACAGAAAAACTGGCAAAAACTTTAAAGGATAAAGAAAAACGTTTAAAATTAATGTGCCAAAGGATAGAGGAAATGCAATGCATCATGGAAGAAAAAGAGAAGGAAATTCAAAAGATAGCAGACGAGAAAAAAGAACTCGAAATGGCCTTAGAAGAAAATAAATTGTGGAATAAAAAACTTCGTGAAGTGAACGACAAACTCGCAGCTACGGTCAAGGAATATTACAATAAAGTAATTTCCGCTAAAAACGAAGCAGAATGTTTGAAGGACGAAGTGAAATGTTGCAAAGAAAATCTTACCGATTCGCAAAACGTAAATTATGCATACCAAATGCGTTACTTATAATATAAGAAAAACTATTTATTTTAGAAACAATGTTGCTTAAAGCAGGAACTTGAAAAGTCACTAGCGAGAATTGAATGCGAAGAAAATAAAAGAAAAGCAGTCGAACAGTGCTTAGAAGAATGTAAAGATAAAGAAAAAGCGTATCAACAAAAAATTAAGGCATTAACGTGTGAGTTAAAAAAATTAGAGGAATGTCACAGACAGTCAAACAAACAAACCAAATGCGAAATGCAGAAACTGATGGATGAACATAGTAAATTAAAATGCGAATGTGCGGAAATGCAAAAGAAATTAGTTCAATTTCGAAACGCAGATGAAAAACGGTCAGTTTTCATGCATTTTGAAATAATCATCGTAGAAATAAAAGAATATTTATATTATAATGAATTTTTAGACGGAAATGTATCGAAGAAGAGTTAAGATTATTCACCTCTTTTGTAAACGAAAAAGAATCAATTTTATTGAAAGAAAAAGAAGAACTTTCGTGTCTTGTAAATGAATTAACCAGCGTAATAAAGCAGCATAAGACACGAATTTCTGAACTGTCTAAACTAAATAAAGAACAAGAAGAAATGTTAGAATGTCAGTGTAATAAAATTGCTGTACAGGTAAATTCAAATGCGAATCTTTTTAAAAATACTCTAAAACAATACAAATTATTAGGAGAAAAGTTTGGAACATAAAACAAAAGAAAACGAATATTTATGTGTTAAAAATCAGCATTTGGAGGAAGAGATTAAAAAATTGAAATCTTCAGCCGATGAAAAATGTTGTGAAGAAATTCGAAACCTTGAAAAACAAATTTCAGAGTTAAGGTAAGATGTAAATACGTNGAGTTATTTGTTTCTAAAAGGAATACAGAATAAACAAATTACATTATGAATTTTGACCTAATCTGAAAAGTTTGGTTTGACCTAATCCAGCTTAATTACATACGTAAGATGTAAATACGTCTTGCTAATATTTCTGTACATTTAAAGCGGATTATTTCGTATTAAAAAAAGGAATTACAACTATATAAATACGTACGTGCCGATCTTACCTTCACACTTTTACATTAAATGAGTCATACACACGTAATTAAAAAATTCCTTGTTGATTTGTTTTATTAATTCATAGTCCTTGGAAAAAATCGTATGCGCTACAAAATATACATAAAAAAAGGGGAATAGGTGTAAAAGCGAATAAATACACAAATATTATAATTTATAATACGAAAGCGTTTTATAGTTAAATAATAAAATCCTTGAACTTTTATGGTAAAAATCATCACTCCACCTTCATCCGAATTCAGTACTTATCTACTAATTATAAATATTACAAAAAAATATTAGGTCCCTATATTGCGAAGAAAAGAACAAACAGGCGTGCAAAGAAAAAATTATCCAAAACCAAAATAAGTTAATAAGCGAATTAAGGTGTGAATTAAATCAGAAAAAACAGGAACTTAAAGAAGCCCAATGTAGATTAGCCAAGGTCTCAGAAGAACTAAAGCGAAGAGCAGAGGAAGTAAAACGTCTTCTTAAAGAATTAGAATGCGAAAGGAAAGAAAAATGTGCACTCATTGAAGAACTAAAAGTATGATTTTTAGATTCCTACTTGCGTGTTTTTATTCTTATTATCAATGATGACATTTTAAGCAAATGGAGTGCAAACAAAAGAGTCTCGAAAACAAAGTTGCAATGCTCGAGAAGACGGTTGAAAAATATTATTCCTGCACTTCGAAAGACATAACAAAGAAAGAGGAAATGATTAACTGTCTCCAGCAAGAAATTGCCAAACAAAGGGCAGAATTCGCTAAACAAAAACAATGTATTCAGCAAGAGAAGGAGCAAGCGATTTGCGCGGCAAAATTCGCAACTCAAAAGCTCTATGACACAGTTACTGACTTTCAAGTACAGGTTGAAACCCAAAAGAAAGTTCAACAGTTTCTTACAGGACTGTTGTGCGAACGGGAAGCTATAGAAAACAGGGGAACTGTAAGAAGTTTCCCTTAATTATTTATTTTCAAAATAAACAGATTTAATAATCCCTATGAAAAGACCATTAGTTTTTGGGCGCGGGTTATTTGCACCTCAATTTTTCGTAAACTTAAGTACATAGATCCCATACCAGACTTGAACCTTAGGTAATTAATTAATCCTTTTGAAATTAAGGATAGCTCGCCGTGTTGTTCCCCAACGGAAGATGAATGCTCAGACAAGAGCAACCAAGAGTGCAATCAAGACTGTTACTCTTCAAATTCGGGATGTAATGACCACTGTAGAGAAATAGAGGATATATTTGGTACGTCCGGAAAATACAGCCTTCCAACAATTTGCGTATCTGCAAAGACTTGCGCTACTAATACTTGTAGTGGTTCCGAAGATGAATGCAACAATCCAGTAAGTTGTAGGATCCTAGTTCTTCATGTAGTTACACTAGTTGGGTATGCCCAAATTTGGTTGGTGGGTACCGTCTGGTTACAAAATGCCAGTAAGAGCGAATAATTCAAATTAAACGATAACATCCTAAGCACTCAAACTGAGCCATTTAGTTAGTTCCACCGTTTGATTAGTTCAGCCAATTTCATTGTATCGTGTCATCAGCGATCTCAGTTGCACGAGTTTTGTTCACAAGACAAAAACGTATTTTCGGAAAGTTTCTTCCCACTTTTCCCTAACGATTTCTTCATAAACTTTGAAAATTGATACTTTGAAATGGCAGAGACATAGGGGATAAGTTAAGAGTTTGCGTATGCAGTAATTTTCTAACCATTCGATTGAATGTCTAAGGGTTACAGTGATGAGAACAACACTCGATTTTCATAGTCGCACCCCACGCCATCTTGAAACAGGGATGTAATTTGTATTTGCGGAAAGTTTCTTTCCACTTTTCCCTAAAGATTTCTTTGTAAACTTTGAAAATTGTTGCTTTGAAATGGAAAAGAAATAGGGGATACGTTAAAAGTTTGAGTATGCAGTAATTTTCTAACTATTTGATCGAATGTCTAAGGATTGCAGTAATGTGACACCACACGCCATCTTGAACAAGGGTGTTATTCGTATTTTCGCAAGTCTTCTTCCCACCTTTTCCTAACGATTTCTTCAGAAAATTGTTGCTTTAAAAAACGGACCATCATTATTACGAGTTAATTTGTCAGAAAAAGCTTAAAATTTCAACTGAAAGTCTCCGCTGGGCTGATAACCCAGAGATAGTGATTGATAGCAGGACGTCCTTTTAACGAAACAAATAAAATATTTAAAAATATATCAATACTTTTTAGCCATATCAGCCTGATGTAATCCATGCCAAAATAAGAAAGAACAATGTACCATGTTGCGATATTATTAGCAAAGCCATAAACTGTGGAAGTATCTGTGCAGAACGCTTGGAACCGTGTTCGTCGTCTTGGCGAAAAATTTTATAAATTATTAGTTTTAAGATCGCTCTTTGAAATACATATATCTGCTGTTATATAGGTGTCAAAGAAATGTGTGCTTTTGTTTTAGTTAGCAAAGACGAAATAAATAACTAAAAGTTGTCTTTCGTTCATATCAAAAAAAAAAAACGTTCAATTTTAATTTCTTTTATTTCTCATTCAATAGAAAAAAAGGTTTTTCATAACATTACACATAGCAAGTATAAAACTTTCAACGAATACATCACTACATCATTAATTAATATAACGTATCTCTATCATAGATTACAATTTATTAAAGTCAGTATTTAATCTCAGTAGGAAAATTGCTCCACAAAAACCTAAATAAATTTGAGTAATAAGGAGACTCGGCACTTTTAGCAAATACAACGTATTAAATTTATAAGTTACTGTAATATTTGCAATATCTTCTTTTAAAATATTTGTACCGCTAAATAATAGCGAAGTTCTTCCTGTAATGGGAAATCTGGAATAATCATTTTGAACGCCGTCAAAACGAAAATAATCCGGAGTTTTCACAAACAAAATTTCGCTCATTGCAGGAATAATTATGTTCACTTTTGCTTTTCTAATATTTATACCAACAAATACACTATCTAAGATAGGAATCGATATTTCATACTCATAATTTTTTTGGTAGAATAAACATTCTTCAGTGGGCAACTCATACCCTATGGTGTATTCACTTTTCCAATTACCATACAGTGGGGTACGTATTTTATAGATAAAAAAATTAAGATCCTCATTTTTCTCAATTTTCCAAGTATTAATTTTCCCCAAGTGATCAAAGAAAACGAAGTTGCGTGCTGAACGGGGAACTACCGCCCTGAGAGAATTCAATCTCAAGTCCTGATAAGGAGAAAAGTGCCCAACCATTTTACTCCCTAAAAATGTTAGGGATTACTTTTAGATAAGAATCCCAGAAAACATGTATTTGATTTGCAAACAATGATAACAAGGGTATTAAAAAAATATAACATTTTTTTGAGTACCGAAATTTTATTTGTTTTTTAATATCGTCACTATATTAGTCTACCAGAGCTAATTTAAACAGGGTCCTTATGCATACATGTTAAATTGAACAAAACAATCTTTAAATAACGATACCTAATTAAATAATAATCGATATATTATTATGGCAATGTAGAAAGAAATGGTACTAGCAGCAATAGCAGTTATTTTTAAAATTAATTTTCAGTTTCCCCTTCATTTTTGAATACATACATACATACATAAAACAAATATTTAATTAAAATACAAACCTTTGTTCGCCAATCTGATTTTATCTTGAATTATGATGAAGCCAAAATGCGACACTTCAATTGTACGTTCTAAATTTTCAATTTCGAAGAAAACCTCGTCAGTCACATACGAAATGCTTACAAGTTCGTAACTGAATGCAGGGACGAATAATGATGTGTATTTAATATGAAGCATCGTTTCTTCATCTGGTTGATGAGAATATTCAACATCACCAAAAACATTGTTATATATAAATTTTTTGGTGAAGTTGAAGGTGCTATAAGGCGAATAATAATGCAAATTTTTGTGGAAAACGGCCACATGCTTGTCGTCATTTAATTTTTTAACAGATTTAATTTGATTAAAATAAAATGTGTTTATGTCAATTTGGTATATGTGATCAGATGTAGCTGTTTGATTCAGATCTACTTCAAAAGCATCAACATCAGGAATATTATAATCATCTAATTTTCTGTAGCTTAAAGGCAAATTAGTATTATAACTTTTAAAGAAAATCCTGTAGTCACTCATATTGGGATCGACCATAAAGATAAACTTTTCAGTTCTATTTGCTGCCTCTTGAGTATTAAATAAAGTTAAATATGTTTTAATTTGCAAATTATGAGAATGAAATATCACTTGCTGATGCACATTCTTATTAATGATTTGTCCATAGGCTGATAACATTAGGAAATTTATTACAAGCAAACACTGCATTTTTTCAATAATTAGTTATCAAAATGTAATAAAACATCAATTATTATGACTGTTCTCTTATATTAAAAAAATATACACACACAGCCAACTACATCAAAATTACTTTTTATTGCTTCTAACAATAATTAACTACCATCAACTTCTTATATCTTCCAAATATACTCTTAATGAGAGCAGTAGAATGGAAAAATTCCTTTTGTACCATTCAAAATTATAGTTGACATGGGTCTCCCAGTTTTTATCTAAGAATGACTTATAAAATTCACTCATTTCATCTGGTGTAAGGTTGGACTTGTCATCATTGCTCTTTTGCTTTATATATTCATGTTTCTCCTAAAAACCAATCCTGTAAGTAAATTCAAAGACTAGGTTGTGAATTGTTTACCTGTATGAAACGTGCATTGTGTTCTGACCAAAATTTTTGATTCCATATCTGTGTTTCGTCGTGTAATTGTCTTAATTTCTTTTGTAATACTGTCTCGTTTAAATTTATGTATCTAATTATGGGACGTAAATTAGAAACTGGATCAGGTGGTCCTATCAAATCCACCCCATTATTTTCAGGTAAAACAACTATTGGATCTTCCAGAAACTTATCTGTAGCTAGTATTGCTGTATTAGATGGGGCCTTTGTATTTAGTCTTTGTGTAAATATCTGCTAGGTCAAAATATTTATAATTTAATAACAAATTATGTAACGACCTAACCTTCAATATACTTACATTACTTAAGTTGCTAAAATATTTAATACGAGGTAGTAATTCATTATGAAATAATGCAACATGGTTCATATTTATAAAGAAAAGGTTATGATAATTAGATTATTGTAAAGAACTTGCTTAAAAACTTGAAAACTCCTTCATAACCCAACTTTATATTAAACCGCAGTTGACAGACTTGTTTGACATTGCACGTGTCTAAACTGCCAATTATATTTCTGTGACTACGTTATACTAACCGTTCGAAAATTAGTTGAAGTTGTAGGGGGTTTCCCAATCGTTATGCCAATTATTTTTTTAATTCTCTTATACTTATATACAGCTATTGATATTATATATTTACTGTTTAAGAAATATGTAACGAAAATCTAATTAGATTTCAATTATTTTATTTAAAAAAAATGGAAAACAGCAAATCAAATACAAATACTTCATGTTATCTAATGTTTGTCTTTTCCTTTTTTGTTCACCAGTACTTTCATTTTCTTCAGTTTCTTTTTCTTCTTTTTAGTAATACAACTACTCCCTTTGCTGACAATTTTGTTTTCCTCAGAATTACTTTTGTCCTGCTTTTTCTTCAACTTCTTTTTTTGTTTTTTATTTATTAATTGACTTTTAACCATTTCTCTATTTACAATTTCTCCAATATCTTCTAAATCATATTTAGGTACAATATTTAGATGCATAGTTTTTGAAGATGTAACTGTATTTTTATTTAAATAACTATTGTGTTGTGGTTGAGTTCTCATTTCATTTGCAGTTTTTTCTTCCCTTTCACTATCACCATCTTCAATATGTTCTAATAAAGATAAGTCATTTTCAAAGTTAACAGTAAATATAGATTTGCTTTCCTTTTCTGTACATTCTTGATTAAACCATTCAAGACCAATCCACTCTTTTAAATCATCAGGAAATTTGTATCTATTTGGTATCCAACATTCAGCTGTACTATCATAATAATTATCATAAAAATGCTTGGTTTGCAAGTAAAGGGTGCATGTGTATTTAAGAATATTTATGGCATTCACTCGTAATCTAGAAATTATCCCAAAGCACACCACTAATACCTTCCATATATGGCCAATTCCAATAACACTATGTATATATAAAGCTGATTCTTTTGTGATCTCTATAACTCTTTCCATAAGTTTTGCTACAGTTTGTAAACGAACTAGAAGATACTCTATGTTGCACTTTCCAGGTGCATACACAATTTGATTACTTTCATTGTTTATTTGAATTAATTTATTAATTATCGTCGCCATATCGACAATCATGTACATTTTAAGTGATTTCAGTATTTTTTGCAAAGCTTTAAACCCTTTATTTGATCGAAATTTCAGCTTCATTCGATAAACACATCTTTCTAACAAAGCACTTTCTGCATTCAAAAACTTATTATCACGGTAAAATTGTCGGGCATCCGTAAGATCAGATATAAAATTTTCCAGTTCTAAAAGAAATTGGTTGTAAATTTAATTAAAAATGACAATTTGACCCTTTACTCACGAAAATGAGAAGGATGTTGCTCTAGCCGTTTTTGCGACACAATACCTGGTGCTCTTACAGACTTTAAACACCACAGTTTTTGATGTATATTATTCATAGCTAATTAAGTATTAGTTACAAAGTATGAAAACTAAATAAGTTAAAATATTATCTCAATATTTCAAACTGAAATAAGTGGGGTTACATATTGTTTGGATTTGGAGGTTAAGTGCTTTCCATAGATTTCTTCTTCTTTTTCTTTAATCATAGATAAATATAAGGATCAATGAAAACTTTATTCTTTTAGCCAATTTGGTATGATATTAAATTCCTTCCTAATTTTGAATAACACCCTTTCGAAAACGCATACTATTATTGTAAAAACTAAAGCTAATGTATTTTAAAAATAATATTTACTACTTCCTTCACTATTATTTTATTTATTTTTAGCTGTTTATCTTTACAGGAAATTTATTTTTCAGATTTTATCATAAACATCGGTTTTGTCCTTAAGACCATTTTAGAAGAGTTCTAGGATGAGGAAGCATAGTGGGAAATATTTTCTTAACATACAAGTAACTCCTTGGAGAATAAAAGTTCAGGGTGAGTGCAAAATTTTTGAGTTCAGCTGAGTAACCTTTGGATTTCTTAGTTTTCATCATTTCTTCTATTATGACTCTTCCAGTAGGAGTTATTTGTTTCTAAAAGGAATACAGAATAAACAAATTACATTATGAATTTTGACCTAATCTGAAAAGTTTGGTTTGACCTAATCCAGCTTAATTACATACATCCAGTCTTTATTTAATGCACTATTATTATGCTAATTGACAAATAAATCCATCCTTTTTAACTTACCAACATATTTGTGATTTCATAACTTCCAAATTTAATTTCATTAGTTAATGGTTTTAGCTGTTTTCCTATGAATGTGTTTAACTTATTTATTCTTCTGATAAGGCGTCTGTTACGTTGTTGTAATATTTTAATTTTCTTTTTCTTTTCCATTAGTTGCTCTTTCAATTTATTTGTGCACTTTTCACTAATAATGGGGAGTTCTTTTAAACTGACCAGTTTCTTTTTCTTACATAAAGAATGATCACAGTGTCTAGACTGATCATAATCAAAATTCCCATTTTCAAAATTAAAATTTTTTTGTTTGCATTTATTAATTGCTGTTGTTGTTGTATTAGAAATGTCATTCTCCTGTGTTACAGAAATTGCAACTAAATCTTCGATTTCAGCTGTTAAGTTCTTTGTTCTTCCATTAGTTTCATTTGTGTTTAAATTCTTTTCACTTGCTAANATACTATAAAAAAAATTGATTTTTTTGCTGTGTAATAATACTATTTATGAAAGGTCGAAATTACTTTTAATAATTTAACAAAGTAATCTGAAATATTATTAATGGATGATGAAACAATTTAAATAAATAATATGTTGTATTAGAAATGTCATTCTCCTGTGTTACAGAAATTGCAACTAAATCTTCGATTTCAGCTGTTAAGTTCTTTGTTCTTCCATTAGTTTCATTTGTGTTTAAATTCTTTTCACTTGCTAAAATCCTATTTTCTAAATTTACTTGGTTACTGATATCATTTTCAGCTTTTTCTAACTCTTTAACAGAAGGTTGTAAATCAGGGTCTGCAATAATAAATTTCATATTTTTTGTTAGATCTATAATTTGGTTTTCCACATTTACTGCAGTTGAAACAACAGTATCGCCTACTATTATTGGTAAATGTTCTATAACTAAAGTTTCACGTTTGCTGTTTTCATCAATAGGCAATTTCTCGACTGTCTTTGGCACAGCATCCTTTTTAAGGACCTTCTTTGAACTCCAACCACTGATAACAAAGTCATCAGGTGAAAAGTGTTTTGAACAAAGTCTGGAGTGGTTTTGAGGCTTGAAATTATAGCTACAGACTGCACGGACCCACTGACTTTTAATTTTTTCATCTTGGGGAAATCTAAAGTTATTTTAATTACAAACAACAAAACGACAATAATTCATCTATAAAAAAGCTTGTATTAGAAATATGTTGAGGTTAAGGAGATTACTAGGCTTCTATTGGTTTATTTTTACTTCTCAATACATTTGAGAGAGTTACTTACAAGTGAAAAGAAACTCCTGACGCCCTTTTTGATCGCTCTTTACAGTACTGAGCAGAGCATGTCTGCACCATAATTTCAAATTTAAATTCTTGTGGTATGGTAATGTAGATTTGTGTAGATTTGCTGCCTTATGGCATGCAGAATCCACAACTGACGCTTATCGTTAGTAGATAATGACGTCTTGTATATACAGGGTGCCTTAAAAATATTTTTTATGGGATTAGTAATTGCAACATTTGATTTATAAAATCAAATATATTTATATTCATTTATTCTTTTACCTTAACTAGTTCTTGCCCTCAATATGACGTAGTGTCGGCCATCATTCTTTTCTAATTGTTGCTGTTGTCGGCCATCATTCTTTTCTAATTGTTGCTGTGGTCGGCCATCATTCTTTTCTAATTGTTGCTGTGGTCGGCCATCATTCTTTTCTAATTGTTGCTGTTGTCGGCCATCATTCTTTTCTAATTGTTGCTGTTGTCGGCCATCATTCTTTTTCAATTGTTGTCGCATTGTCACTGATGTCGGCCATTATGGTTTTTTAATAGATGTATAGTAATCAATGATTAAAATTTAAAGGAATTGTTTGTAAATAGGTATGCAACACATCGTACACTTCAGCATAAGAAATTGCTGATACTAACTTTCATTTACGTAATGCAACTTTGCCCTGTGCTGACAGCACTCATATTTTTTTTTATATATAATAATATTTAAAAAAAAATTAAATCATTCATTAAAGAGCTAAAAATTAAGACAAAATGTGTAATAAAAAAGTTAAGATTTATTTACTTGAATTTATAATTTAAACTATAAAAACACATAACACATTAAAATTTAGATTAAATACTTAGGTACTTTAAAATTCATATAAAATCAAACAAGATTTGGCTTTATTTAAGTTTTTGTTTCAGTCTTTCAACTCTCGATTTCAAACCATTTTCTCGTTTCTTGATAGAAATATTTTGTGACACTTTTTCTTTCTCCCTTCTTCGCAAATCGTCTTTCCTAAGAAAAAAAAATGTAATACAGTCATTAGTAAAAAATTTAATTGCGTTATGTTATATACATACTTTGCCTTTTCTAATCGTAGTATCTCCTTTTTCCATATATCTTTAAAGTCCTTGGAAAACTGTAACCACAATTCGAAAAACTCGTTTGGTGGAAAAGTTTCTACGGTGCCAGATTTAGGCTTAAAATGATAAAACTTCATTGTACTGATAAATCTCCTTTTACATTCTTCTAAATATTCTTTTTGGCAGGACATTCGTTTGTAAGCATTTTCCAAAAAATTGGACATTTTTTCTTTAAAAGGTTCCAAGTTTTCTGGAGTTGATTCATCGATTACCTTTTGTATTCGCCTTTCACAAGCTAAAAAATATGTTAATTAAGTTTAGCAAATTAGGAGCTTTCTTACTAATATATTAAAAAGCATACCTACCCTTTAATTGAGTTTCCAATTTTTGTAAATCTTGACAAACTTCATCAAAATTAACAGCAGCAGCTCTTCGAATGTCTTCTGGTTCAGGGACTGGTAGCGGGAAATTAAGTAAAAAGGGACTATCTAACTTGCACATGTATGTACGGACTATAAAATGGAGGAGGGTAGTTTGGGAATCTTTCGTTGATTTGACGTCTTTTAATTTCGACAAAATTTCTAGTCCAAAACCATCAGCTTGCCCCCTGGTCATGTTACCTCCATTCATATAGTTCCCTAACGTTAATATTATTGATAGGATGTCTTTCAGGGATGGACTTTTTACCAAAAACTTTAACAAAAAGTACCTACATTTTTAATCAATTTATAAATAAATAATAATAATTTTATATATTTCAATACAAGTAAAAAATCAAAAAGGTAGGAGCTTGACCCTATCAAATAAATTGATAAGTTCAGCGATTTTAAACTTTATAACTCATTCCATAAAATATGATAATCCTCACTATTCATCTGTAACACCACACCTTTTCTTTTCCTCCGCGTCCACCTTCCATGTTTTGCATCCGTACAGCGTCGTACTCCAGACATACAATCTTTTTTGAATTTCTAAATTAACTATTCGCGAGCAGTGAAGTGACTCCTTTTTTGATAAAGGCGACTTGACCCTGCGCTATCCTCTGTTTTAAATCTCTGCTNTTTTAATCAATTTATAAATAAATAATTGTTCTTTTATATATTTCAATACAAGCTCAAAATTATTTTTTTTAGTTTTGTAAGCTATTCAATAATAAAGAATTTTCCATTTATATTTGATACATACGTCGCACGTAGTTTTAATGTTGGTTAGCGTATTTTCTACCGATGATAGTGAATCATCAAATTCCACTTGAAACATAAAGCTAGATATCCTTTCAGCAAAATTGGATATTTCTGATAGGTCACGCAAAAACATTTCCGGTTTATCTAAAGGAATACTGGGGTTGTCACTAAGATGGGTGTTAATGAGTTTAATTTCTTCTGGCGTTGCTCTCTAAAACAATTTGATGTTAATTATTTATTAATTAATGATTATCTTATATCGGCATACCGCTTCGTAAATCTGCTGAAGAGCCTCCAGACTAACAACAGATGTATCGAAATTGTAGATAGCATTTTCGATTTCCGAAAATTCTACATGTAAACTTTGAGCCAAAATTCCAACATTCTGTGACCTTTTGCTATCCAAAAGTTTCACAGCTGTAGCTTTTGGAGCAGTTTCCTGTTTCTTTTTTGTCTGTTTTCTTGCAATGGCCTGATAAGAAAACAGTTCCGTGAATTCGTTCATATTTTTTAAAGGAACTTCGTCTATTTGGGACCACAATGGTAACGTTGGACTGTCGACATCATCGATTGATTCCGAAAGGTTTGCATTTTCTGGGACGACGATTCTTGTCCAGTAAAGCGGTTTCATAGGAGTGGCGGGAATAATTGGCTTCTTACGCAAAACTGGAAACGAATGTAATTATTTAGACTTGAAGGTGTTAGTTTTTTACTGTAAAGTGAGGAGACGCCACAAAAACTAGATAAACATTTAAAAAGACAAAGTACTGCTAGCTATGGACAATCACAATAAAACAGAATTACAGACGAAGAAAGGAGAAACTTCACTTACTGATGGTGATTTATGAAGTATAGTGAATGTTATCATTATCGTTTGGCATATTTATACAAAATTGCAGCGTCTCCTTTCTGGAAATATCAACGATTTACTCACCGAGTTGATAAGGGACTGCAGGAACCGCTAAAGGGAACAGATAATGAAAGTGCATTCAGAACTACAACGTAATTTAATAAATGGGTAGGTACATCATATAATAGGTGAATTTTCTTTAGCAGCTCATTCAGACTACTAATTAAAAAATGCTTCAGCTACGGATATATAATAAATAAACAAAAGAAAATTCGCACAGTAGGCATACCACTACTAACAGAAATTAAAACAAACAATCCCAAACATGTACTAAACATGCGACCCATCTACTTACGATTTTTTTGAGGATTCCAACCCTCAGGGGGTGGTGATGGAAAAGGCACCGGCCCATTTATCGGCGGCGGCGGCGGAATAAGTTTTGAGTTGCACATTCCGGGGGGTGGTGGAGGTGGTGGAGGACCTGCTCCTGTTGGATGTGGCGCAGCTTGTCCTGGAGGTAGTGGTGGTGGAGGAGGACCTGCCATTCCAGGAAGAGGTGGAGGAGGAGGAGGGCCAGCCATTCCAGGAAGAGGAGGAGGAGGAGGAGGAGGAGGACCTGCAGTTCCTGGGAGGGGTGGTGGAGGCGGAGGACCTGCTGTTCCAGGTAGGGGTGGTGGTGGAGGAGGTGAAGGTCCTATTGTACCAGGAAGTGGAGGTGGTGGAGGGGCGTCTGTTGTCAAAGGCAATGGAGGTGGGGGTGGAGGTGGAGGAATCGATGAAGAGCAAGATAATGTTCCCGCGAAAGGTGGTGATGGAGGAATTGGTGTTGTGGTTGTTGTTTGTAGATCCTTTTGTATTGCAAGAGGTTCATGATAATCGGTTTGTGTTTCTTTAGTGTCAACTGATTTCGTAATGGGTTCTGATGTTTGGCAAATAGAATCGTTCGTGAGAGCAGATTGATTATTATTAATGCTAGGAGATGAGGTAGATTTGTTTAACAATTGTGCTAGTGCGTCCTTATCTTGATTTGTACTAATAAGCAGCAATTTTTCAATAGCGGAACTATTTAAATCGGTTTGAATATAGGAGTCTACTTTTATTTCGTTTGAACTCAGTGTATCACTTTTAATCCTTAAACTAGACGAATTATTATTGTCAGTTGAAAGTTTATTTCTACATTTATCACAGTAATCACAAGTAGTTTTCGTTTCTTCTGTAGGAGAGCTAAAATCCGCCGTGGTTTTCGCAGTCAGCTCTTCTATGTTTGTCAGTGTCCTGTACTTTTCTATTTCCTGCTTTAACCTGTTTATTTCGTCTTCTAAAGAAGTTATTTCTGCATTTTTGGCAGACAATTTCGTTTCTACCTCTGTTGGTGTTATTGCTTGAAGGGTGCTTTTAGATGACGAAATGTCCGTGTAAGCAGGTGAATAGAAAACTTCTGACGGCGATGGAGACGTTGGAGGCCAATGGAGAGTTGTGAATTTTCCAGGCGTTTGGGGAACCGATTGTGGTGCTTCCGTATGTGCCCAGTAATACATTAGATCGGGCTAGAATTACATGTAATTCCAAGTCAAGCTTGAAGTAAATACTATTTTTCTATAAATTCTAATTTACGCTTTTACTATTTTTAATTATATAATTAGTGTTGCAATGGTAAATTAACGTGCAGGGGCACAGTGTTAATTATCTTTAAGTAATAGTGACGCACTTTAACGCGGAATAATTGTTTCAAAGCCAGATGTTGTTAACGAGAGGCCTAATATTTTCCTACAGAATTTTGAAATAATGCATTTCGCAACGTTCCACGCAACAGCTTGCATAATAAAGTGCGAATTTCACTGCATGCATCAATAAAAATGACGACCATTTCAAAATTAACTTTTAAACCTTTTAATACAGTAGAAAGAAAAGAACAATGGTCTAGTACATTTTTAATTAAAATTTTGAATAGTCGAANACGTTACAACTGAAAATAATAATAAGATAATTAAGATGATTTAATTAGACTTGTTGATTCATTTTTAAACCTAATAAGGAGGTTCACTAAAATCGAATAAAAACGTTACTTATTTAAGATAGAAAATCCAAAAGTTTCTTGTACAGCAAGGGGAACGATTACTTACCATTATGTTTTAAATTTAAATCACCTATACACACCGTGAAATAAAATTTATATTTTTGGCACTTCTTTCGTTTTTCTAAAACTTTTATCTGATTTAAAGTCGCAAAGCAACCACACATTTTAATTTGTTTAGATCTTGGCTTTTTCTTTCTAAGAATAAAAAAAAGAAAGAATTCTAATATCATGATTTTAAGTTTTTATACTATTCTTTAATTCTCAAGCTTGCAAGTTTGAAATCATTAAAAAATTCATACCTTGAAAATATTGTACATGGGTGCGTCTTTATCAGGAATTTGCTTGACTACACCGGCGGCCAACAAGTGGGTACAAAACTGTATCGCTAAAAGTTTGAGGTCCTGTCCATGTAGAACTTTTCTCAAATAGTGATCTTCCCCGAACTCGGACAGGTACCAGTTGATGAGCATGTGGCCTGAACGAAAAAATTAACACTGTCGTCATCCAAAATAGAAAAAAAAAAGGCAGACACTACTGATTTGTATTCGTTACACCGCGAATTCTTCCGGTAGAAGCATATCAATCACTCACAGAAATAATTATGACTTAACCCTAGTCTGCAATGGTTTGATCTGACGACGAAGTATTAAGGAGGATACACGGAAGGTTAAACATGGTTTGTTGTTGTTTCTGCTGCCGTTGTTATTCAGTAAAATCGGAAAGCATGTCTAACAACTTTTGGAGGCGAAACGACGCGATTTTACTGACTACGAACCGACAAAGAAACCACAAGTCAGCAATCAGACGAATAACTGAACGAGAAATTGGAGAAACGCTAGCAGATACTGATAAATGCCTGCACAGAAATAGGAAAAGTGCAGCTAAATCATTTTCATACAACCTAAATTTGTATAATCTATTATTATATCAAGTATTGTGCGTTTCAATTTAGCCAACAAGGCGCTAGATTGTGAAAAACAGCAAATTATCCTGAAGATTAAGAACTTATCTAAGGTGTAATTTGAACGTAAAGGCATAAATTAATGAATGTTTTTAGCATAAAAATTCAATTCGTAGGGCAACTGTTTACGGTAGATTACCTACTAAGAGTGCTGCAATCTTCGATTTTTCAGAGACAAATAGAGACCAAAATTGATACTCTTTTGGAGCTTTAAATATTAGACTTTTTTTAATCTTTCTAGCAACATATATAAAAATTTGAATGCATTTGAATTACTTTTAATTTTTCGTTCCGCTTTGGAAATACTTAATTATGAACATTGCAAGGCAGTGCCAGGGGCTGTTTGCATATTATGTCATGCTATTTTTGCAACTGTTTGAACGGGATACTTCCCTGCAACGTCATGCTAACATTTCTAACTTTGGGTTTTAGTGGTTGATTATTTTCTAAACTCAATATTCGTTTGATGTTCTTTATTTAAAAAAAAAAGTACTCGGTTCCTTGGGTTTCGTTATGGAGAATCTACATTGGGTATATTTAAAAATTGTTCCAAAAATATTGAAATTGTTAATTCTTAAGAATGGTTCAAACAATTTTTTTAAAAATATCAAGAATTCTTACAATGTTATCTAAAGTATACATGTATTACAATCACGATATTTTTTCTACTATAACTATAAAAATGTCAAAAATTGGATTAATAGCAGTTAACATTGTCTTTATTTGGACTACCTAATATTTGTAATATATATGTATGTTGCTTTTTATCTTAAAAGTATTTGCTTAATTTCTTTGCTATCTGACGTGCATTTGACACTTTTATCGGAGATTATGTTTACCTGACTTCTGGTATTTTATACAGTAATAAGTTTGAATAAATACTATAAAAAAAATTGATTTTTTTGCTGTGTAATAATACTATTTATGAAAGGTCGAAATTACTTTTAATAATTTAACAAAGTAATCTGAAATATTATTAATGGATGATGAAACAATTTAAATAAATAATAAATAATAAGTACTTGATATGTTTCAACAACGGTTTATTATTATATGTTTCAGCAATTTACTGTTAATGGATTATTTATAGTACTTAATACAGTAATCTGAACTGAAGGATAATGTCGAGATGTATATTTCCTTAACAAATGAATGAAATTGTTCTTTGTTGTTATTTACAGAGTATGCATAATAGTAGAAACATTATAATTACAATTTGAACTAAACAATTTTTAATTATATAATTCTGGTATGCATTTTAAAAATTCTGATTAATATTTTAAAAATAAGCTGAAGGGCTTTTTTAAAGGACTTACTATTTCTTTTTGAAAATATACTTATATTAAAACATCATACAGTGATAAAAACAAAGCATATGATAAAAATACGAGTACTTTCCTAAGAACTCTGTAACATTCAGAGAACCCTTGTTATAAAAAATTGTCGTTTCATTTTTTTTTTATAAAACAAAATATTATTTTTTTCTGTAACGTTACAACTGAAAATAATAATAAGATAATTAAGATGATTTAATTAGACTTGTTGATTCATTTTTAAACCTAATAAGGAGGTTCACTAAAATCGAATAAAAACGTTACTTATTTAAGATAGAAAATCCAAAAGTTTCTTGTACAGCAAGGGGAACGATTACTTACCATTATGTTTTAAATTTAAATCACCTATACACACCGTGAAATAAAATTTATATTTTTGGCACTTCTTTCGTTTTTCTAAAACTTTTATCTGATTTAAAGTCGCAAAGCAACCACACATTTTACAGCAAAAAAATACTAAACTCATTAAACGTAAATAAACTTATAACTTGCTACATTTGTTAACTCAAACGACTCTGTCGAAAAAATGTAACTTTTAAGATTATGGTAACTTACGAACAATTATATTAGCGATAAAGCAATCTTTATGATGTACGATCTCTAAGTATCTAGAAAATTAGTTGATAACAATATACCTATTAATATACGACGCCATTCTGTAGGTTTATTTTAGTAACATTTAAATAGGATTATGAAAAAAATGCACAAGGTCGAATGTATTTTCAAAAATTCCTTTTTTCTATAAATTATAGCGGTTATAGTACGATCAATAACTTTGTCTCCAAAAATTTACTGAGGTCTAAGGTTAATTGAATGAATTAAAACTGATTGAAGGTCTTATTTTCTGGCACAAACGTACGATTAAACATCTTAATGTTGTTAAAATAGATCAGTCTGATAAGATTTTGTTGTATTACATCATATAAGCTTTTAGGTTGGCTGATTTATCGCAGGTGATTCAAATGGAACGCAAAAATGTTAACATTCAATCACTAAATTTAAAATTTTGTGAAGTTTTAACTTGTAACATTAAAACATACATAAATATTTATCAATTAGGTTTGAGGAGCTTTTTGTTCTAGATAAATACTAATGTTTCGTATCAGTATTTTCAAAACGAAATGAATTTTATTTTTTTTTTTTGTAATTTAGAAAATAGTCTAACTTCCAAAAAAAAAAAAAGATGCCTCAGATAGAAAGAGTTTTAACAATGAGCAATTTCAATTAATTTTTTTGAACAGTTCTATTCACCCTGCATGTAATACTTAAAAGTGCCTGCTACTTAAAAAAAGTCATCTGATACAAACATAAGCGTCTAAAACAACAAGATTTTCTAACTTAATAGTACAACATTAAAATAGAATCCTGATAAGAAGCTACTGATATCAGGCAGCCGTAATACCTTATCTAAAAAATCTAAGATGTACTTAAACTTTGCACCTATTTATTAATTGATATATTTGTGTAAACTGCGGTTTATTTTAATTAATAGTTTCATACACCTCATTCGTAATAAACTTTTATTATTTATTGTTTGCAAATTCTGTGCTTTACAATTGTAACTTTGTTTTTCATTAACAAAACAATAGCGGATCTAACTGTCGTAGAGATGCATTGCAAAATATATTATTTACTTATAATAATTACTTATTAACTTAATTATACAGAATTTTATTAAAAAGACATAATAGTCGAGTTGATTCACTTCTTTTGTTGTTTGATATTCTATTTCATTAAATAATAACCACTTTTTTAAAAAAATAATTGCGCTTACCTTTTCTATGTGTCATTACAGGAACTCCTGACGCCAAACCGTTTTTTAGGTATAGATTTTTCTTTTTTACAATTTCTTTCCCATTATGAGGGGAAAAGTGACACATTTTTTAAAAAAACTCAGCGAACTTACTGATTTATTTTGAACTGCATTAACGTACTAAGTAAATTAATAGTTAATCAATCCTTTTATGAGAAGTAATTTCGAAATCTTGATTGACAAAGATAAAAGTGCATGTAATGCAAAAAGTTAGATAAACACCACAGGTAATCAAATAATGTAATACTTGTATGTCTTCGACAAAAACGATTGATACTGATTGAATTATGTAGTAGCCACTGTTTTGCTTAACATTAATATTTTTCGCTTAAAAATTTATAGATATACAGTTAAGACGTTCAAAATTGGTATAGTCAGCAATAAAACTGTCGTATTTACTTTCTTCTTTCAACTTACTAGACTAATACCGTAAACATAGAAAAGGGATGTCAGGTAGGAATTGCAGCGGACACTAATAAAGAAAAAGGAATAACATTACACTAATTTATGTGTAATAGGACGAGATGCGAACAAGCAGAATTTGAGCATGTTGGCAGCATTAGACTTTAAAAAACTTTCCAAATTCTCAGGAATTTAGGAATGCAAAGACCCTTGTTTAAAGATGTAATTCCAACCAGGCAGTTATAACCCTAGACAAAAATTTTCAGTCTCTCTCCAGTCTCTCAGAGTCTTCCAGAGTCTTTCAGCGTCTCTGAGAGCGTCTCTCACAGACTCTCAGTTATTGCCTAGGTGTTTTTATGGATCTCTCACAGTCTCTGTATGAGAGACTCAAGTCTCTCGTAGAAAGACTGGGATTTGTGAAATATGTTAAACTTACAAAATTTTAACCATGTCTATCGAGACACCACTTACTGAAAGAATTGAGTCTCTCGTTCAGAGACGCTAAACAGTTTTTTTGACGGTCTCTCTCAACGACACCAGAGAGACTCGATGAGAGACAGAGACTCGAGTCTCGCTTTCAGAGACTCTGAGAGACTGAACATTTTTATCTCGGGAAAGCCGACCGTGATCATTTAGGTACCTAAGCAACTTCTAACCGCTGCATTGCTTACTATTATTCGGTTATCTTTTTTTATTTTGTCTGTAGTACTCATGAAGCATTTCCTAACTTAACAAGGACGTATTCAAAACGCAACAAATGACTACAGTCCCAAGAGGAAACATCCCTTCTCACAGATAATTTATTACAGACTTTGTCAATTGTGATCGTCTCAACTATAGGTATCTAAATATAAGGTCAAGCAAGAATAAGTAATTTACCTTCGAATTTTTCGTAAAGTTTGAAGTCTAATTTTTCAGGCACAAATTTAGGTTTTGCTATTTTCGCGTCCAATGTTGCTTTGTCCAGTGTAAGGGAAGCTACCTTCTTTAATATCAAACTGTCTTCTTTAAAATTCGACACGAGTTCTCCCGGTACTGACATATGCCTCCCATATTTTGGAACTAAAAAAAAAATAAATATTAAAAACAATATTAAAACAATATTTCAAAAAAATAACATGAGAGAGAGAGTTTATTATAGATTAATGACATTCATCCCTGTGCTTCTCCTTCTTATTCTATACAATTTCAAAATTAGTGATGAGGAAAGCAAGACCAAGACTTTCTAGTCTTGGTATTGGTCATGGTCATTGGCAATGTAACTATCATCTTGTATCACATTGTGGTTTTGCTTTTCATTTTCACTTTTAGGAAATAATATAGTCTGTCCTAGTGTAAGAAAATTTGTAGATTTTTCCAAAATGCTATTCTTTATTTAAATTTATAAATAGTGTGGAAGATTTGATCCCCTTGACCCTTCATTCCCGTCTATTGATGATTCTATTACTAGGATTTATCATCACGTAAAAGTGGGATAAATGATCTTGAGCATAAATATAAAATACTATATAAATCAAACACTTTGACATTTAATAGTGTCTAATATCAACTAAAATGAAGATAAATTTTCACAAAAAATATAAAATTAATCGTAATTTTGTTAATAAATTTATAGATGTAACCTTTAAATTCTTTTAGCATTTTTGTCTACGAATTATAATATGGGGTTTATTACGATCCATTATCAAATATATGCAAATAAATTAGCATAATTAGAATTACATTTAGATTGGAATTTGATAGTGACAATAATAATAAAAACTACATATAAAATTTTGAAGTATTGGAATACCTAAAAACGTGTGCATCTTTCTAATATGATAAAAACATACTTTTTTAAAAGTTATGAATGTTATTAATGAAATATTTACATAATTGTTCCTTTTCAATCCCTATTAGTCCCTACTAATCCCTATCTCATGCTACTAACAATTTTATTTCAAATTCTGAATATCACAAATATTTTATTTTGTAATAAATTTTGTATTCGCAAAGTAATTGATTAATTTAAATACAAGAATACATGTGCACTTGTCGAGTGAGGTTTCCCACCAATTAAGTGTCGATTTCAGTTCACATTGGGACCTTGAACTTGTCGTTTCACGCTATAGATAAAAAATTCTATAAATATGTTAAAACTAGCAATGGTATTGTAGATAAAGATATTTATGGCTTAAAATAAAATCCTGGCAAACGAATCCGCTCGATTAAAGGTTTTCGGCATTTATAGAAACAAATTTATTAGTATTAAAAATCGCTTTATTTAGCAAAACCTTAAGGGTTTCCGTTCGTCAGCTTAGACTTACCCGAGTTGGCAATTTTAATATCCAAAGAAGGTTTTTTCGGTTTTTCTTTTGCCGATGGAATATTGTCGTTAAATATAGAAAGAGTAGATAAAGACCCATGTGAATTTCCGCTATCATTTTCCAACGTTTCACTGATTTCCTGTCCACTAAAAAAACCGCTTTCAGTCGTCGTATTGTTCATGGGCTTATTTTCTTCATTTACGCACTCCACATTAGCCGAAGCAAAACGACCACATGGATCACTGTCCAAACTTATTTGGCTCACTTTAGAGACACCCAATTTACTCAGTTTCTTCTCTAGCTCTTCTTCTTTTCTGACTTTGTAATCATTCAACTTGAAGCTGTTCAAAGGTAAATTCAGGAACTCGGTGATCATTGAGTCCGATACTCCTATGTCGTCTATATTCACGGATTTCTCTTTTGAATAATTGGAAGATACAAGAGGATCGGTAAATGCCGAATCTGAACTGGAATTGCTTTGGGGCGTTGTCTCTAATACTTCGGGAGGGTTGTTGCCAGACACCTTGTTGATCTTCTGCCAAGAGTCTGTAACTACGACTTTATCTGTTTTCGGCTTGTTTATTATCTCATCGGCCGTAAGTGTGACGTCTTCGCAACTTCCTTCCGATTCATTTTTCACGTCTTTTTGAACTGCTGCGATATCCAAGAATTGCTCCTCCAACTTGTCCTTTTTCCCTCTTCTAAGCATTAACGCTTTCACTTTCCCTTTCGACGACTTGGATTCGTTCGTTTGAAGGTTGCCCATTTTTCCGATTCTCGCAAATGCAATTCGGTACTAATTTTCAGTATTGTTGAGACGCAACAATAATAAAAATAAAAAAACAAAACAAAACTATAACAAAAAGTTCCCTGAAGAACGGAACAGGGATAACTATTTTAAGACCGAAGCCATCATCACAACACTAGCACACACTGCTCAACAATTACACAATAACAACTATTGTACAATTTAATACGATAAGCGGAAACGCTTAATTTTAATCACATGTTTAATGCGTAATAGTTATGATTGAGACTGCTGTTGTGTCTTGAGGTCTTCTCTCATGGTAATCAATTGGACATTTTCGACTGGCAATTTGTTATAGTTGTCGGAAAAATTGTCGCGTTTGAGGAGAAATTCAACACGCGTGCGCCTCGACGCTTTCTATCGATTTCACGGAAACTGGAGCAAAAAAAGTGGTGACCGGCATCTTTTCAATAATTAAATAATAAACAATCGGTCTATTGTCACTAATCTACGTATATTACACCAACACTATTTTGGGTTCTGATTGATGGACTCTTGTGCCTGCATGGTGAGGTCACCGTGTGCTTATCATTCGCGCATTGTGTTTGTGTGAATTTGTTCGGCAGTTCCTGCGATTATGTTGATGGTCCAACGGGCGACAACAATGTAATTTATAATCGGTTTGAATGTACGGTCCAACAAGGTTTAATGTTCGAGATCAAGGTAAACAATTATTATTATTGTATACTTATATACATATATGGACATTAAAAAAAAAGAATAATTTTATGCAGTCAGTTGATTTTTAAGTAAACACATGTCCTCGATGATGTCACCCGTGTGTAATTTAAGCGAGTGAAACAATTTGTTGTTTGACCAAACTGAAAATTATAACATACTAGGTTTTACCCACGGTTTCACTAGCGTGTATGTCCTAAATACGTATATCAAAGATCATCGGTGACCACAAAAAATTAATTTTTATATCCCTCGGGAACAGAATTTTTTTTGATAAAAGGTACCTTAAGTCCTTTTCTGTATCCCCGACAATGTGTGTACAAAATCTTATGTTAGATTTTATCCTAGGCTTCGCTCGCGCTGGTATCCTAAATACGTGAAAGATCATCGACGACCACATAAAACAAATTTTTATATCCCTCGGGAACAGATTTTTTTTTAAAAAAGGTACCCTAAGTCTGTATCCCTGACAATATGCGTTCAAAAGTTCATGACAGGTTTTACCCGCGGCATCGCTAGAATTGGTGTCCCAAATGCATGTCGAAAATCATAGACGACCACATTAAACTAATTTTTCTATCTTTCGAAAGTAGCATATTCTTTCTAGATAAAAGGTACCCTATGTCCTTTTCTGTATCCCTAACAATGTGTGTACGAAATCTTATGTTATATTTTACTCTAGACTTTACTAGCGTTGTTGTCCTAAGTATGTGCAAAGATCATCGACGACCACATAAAACTAATTTTTAAATCCCTCGGGAACGGTATTTCATTTCTAGATAAAAGCCCCCCTAGGTTATCTTCTGTACCTCTGGCAATGTGTGTACAAAATCTTACGTTCGATTTTATCCTAGGCTTCGCTCGCATTGATGTCCTAAATACCATCATCGACGACCACATAAAACAAATTTTTGTATCCCTTGGGAACAGAATGAATTTCTTTTTGATAAAAGGTACCCTATATTCTCTTCTGCATCCCTGACAATGTGCGTGCAAGAGTTCATGATAGGTTTTACCCGAGGCATTGATGTGCTAAATACATGTCGAAAATCATCGACAACCTCATTAAACTAATTTTTCTATCCTTCGGAAGTAGCATATCCTTTCTAGATAAAAAGTACCCTATGTCCTTTTCTGTATCCCTAACAATGTATGTACAAAACTTCATGATGGTTGCTTTAGTAGTTAAGGCGTGAAATGTTAACAACTTTCATTTTTTTTATAGATATGTCACAGATAGCATTCAAAATTAATATGATTTGTATAAGTTGTTAATTAATACTTAATAAGCGAGAAAGTACCCAATAATACTATAAATAGTCAATTAAATTATAAAAATTGTGAGGCCACACGTACATTTATTAGTCAAACTATTGGTAATATATTTATTAACGGCGTAAGGCTAATTTTTTATTTCGTTGCCTTAATTAATGTCTAAAATTATTCCTTCACAATTGAGAGATTTACTTGCGTGATATCTAATGTCGGTTTTGAATTTAAATACTATTAAATAATCGTTTTGTCTTTTAGTTTATTTGCAAAGTTTAGGTTCTGTTAACCGTACTTTTTTCATAAACATAATATTTTTGGTGTATATTTTGTAACAGTGTATCTTAAGTAAATTGACGTTAAAAATTTTGAACTCTAGGATTTAGCTGCATTCCGATAAACATTTTTTGAATTATTAATAACTAGTAATTAAAAATATGGAAGTCACAATAATTCACGCGAATTAAGTCGAGGGTAAAAGCTAATAGTTAATAATCAACCCTTATCTGTCTCTTTTTAGTAATTACAAAGGATAAATAATTGAATCTTATTTCCAATAACACTTACAGTTTGAAAATGCAACAATATTACACTTTCTTTTGTTATGAGCCATTGTGGATTTACATTTAACAACTTTTCTTAATCAACACAGTTAATGACAATCAGCGTTAATAGTATAATGAACGACGGTCTTTTGAAGTGTTTTATGATCCATGTGCGTTTTATAAACGCAAACTGGACTGTTAACGTAAATCAACACGCTGCAAAACAATAATTTATCACAACTGACCTGACTCATGCTTGACTGATTTCATTTTTTATAGTATTTAAGAAAAACATAATTTAGATTTATAATTATTTGAAAGTAGTTAGTACCTACACATCAAAAACTAAACGAAAATAATTTTAAATATAACTATTTTTTTGTTTTGTTAAGCTGTATGACGGTTTCTTTAGGTGCTGAAGAAGTTTAAATTTTGCGAAATAATTGTCCTGGAGTATGGAGAATAAAACTTTATACATTCAAAATAGCGTCCACAGTTATTTGGTAATATTCATAACAAATGGGGAAAATTGTTATTTTCATTGAGAAAACAAAGTAATATGCGCCTTATGGCCTAATAATCAATTTAAAGGCAGGATTTACCATTTTACAGTTTGTAAAGTAAGTAACAAAAATGATAAAAATTACAAAATCGATCAGAATTGGAATAATTATTATAAAACTAATTAAAAAAAAAGGGGGAAAATGGATTATTAAAATTTACAAGTAAATCCCACTATTTTTATCATTAATTACATTGTTTAAAATTGAATATTGCAATTTTTATACGAATGTAGAGATTCGTTTTCCTCGTGCGTTTTTATTTTTTTTTGAAGGATCAAAGCTTTATTGTCAAGTGTAATTAAAAAAACTATTGTTTAATATAAACAAAAATTAAAATATTTTTGAAAATTAACGTGTTATCTTTATATTAATTAAAGTTTTTTAAGTATGTATTACGAAGAGATTAGTTTGTTTATTATGTAATATGTGGGGTCTTATTTCGGAAATTAACGAACAAAAGTTGAAAGCTCCTTCATTGTTTGAAAGCTATACCATTATCGAGGTGGTTGTAGCCTATTTTTAATATTTCTTTTATATAATAAAGCTCTTTTCGCTGTTAAGAAAAATTAAGCTTTCATTCAAGCATAATTTTCTCTCTACTATTCTCTGTAACACAGTCGTATGCTTGAACGGTCGACCGAGAGAGCGAGCTATTTTACTAATTTTAATATAAATAGCAATTCAATATTTGTTTGGAAAATTAGTTAGTCACGTTTGTAAAATTAAACTTTTTTAAACATGTATTACAAAAAGAAAGCATTAGTTTGTTTATTCTGTAATATGCGGTTTCTAATTTAGGAAATTAACGAACCTAGATTGAAAGCTCTTTCACTGTTTGCAAGGTGTATGTCACTACCTAGGTGGTTGTAGCATATTTTTAATGTTTTTTAAACATAAATAACCTTTATTTTGTAAATAAGAATAGTTTTCGCTTTCTTGCCCGTTTTAATATAGATGATGAATTGTTTTGAAAATCAGTGTGTTGTTTATGTATGAATTAAAATGTTTTAAAGGAATTTTACTCATTTAATATAAATAATGATTAAACCTTTGTTTTTACAAGCAATGTGCTTTTTTTGTATGAATGAAAATGTTTTAAAGCAATAC